AGTCGATGATGGTAAATGAGCTGCTTCCATCTCAAATTAACTGAAACAAAACGAGAAATCAATCATTAAAGGTATTGAAAATGGCTTATTTGTGATGATAATTAAGTTTGAAGTAAAACCGAAAGTACAAAAATCAAAACATGTTCCTCTCAATCTCTTTCAAACCTTCGCCACTAGAGCACCATCAATTCAAACTTAATGCATTGCAACTGTCTCACTCCGATCAAAAGCAGGTAACTCTAGCGGTGAATCCAAACAAGAAATATTTTACTTTTAACTATGCACATTTCAACCATGATACTTTCATGTTTATTATGACTATTTTCATACTGAATTTAACTGAACCATTTTTTTACTGATACAGTCAACCCTTGAGTTTTTTGTTTTTTTGGAGTAACGCCATCTACTCAAACTAAGAGGGGAAAACACTTGTATTTAAGGGGTAAAAGAGCTTGTTGACAAGTGAACATAAACAATAGTTTTAATCAAAAATTAAGTTACATTTTTTCCAACAATTCGTTATTGTTTCTTCACTAATCGCTTTGAAACTTTCATCGATCATTTCAATGGCCTGAGCCAAGTCGATTTTTACGTTATTCAAGTAAGTATTTTCATTATTCAAATATTTATCAACTAATAATGATGACAATGTTTTTCTGTATTTTGATTTTATAGCTCGAATTATTCCTGCATCTAATGGCTGGGTAACTGAAGTCGTGTTTGGTGGGAGAAATTTCAAATAATATTTGTTGCTTCATATTCTGTTGAATGTCCAGAAAAATTATCAAGAAAAAGAATAGCTTTTTGTTGCCTTTCCCGGAATACACCATCCATTTCAATCAACCATTCAGTGAAAATGACTGATGTCATCCATCCTTTTTGATTTGACCGGTAATTGACTTTTTCAATAATATTTTGTTTGTTTTTAAAACATCGAGGTTTTTTACTTTTACCAATAACTAAAGGTTTAAATTTTTCACCAACACTTGATACACAGAAGAATAATGTTACTCTTTCTTTTCTCTCTATCACATTTTTAGTGTTACCATCAGGATGGATGTATGATTGACGTGCTTGGTTATGGTACTCGAAAGATGTTTCATCTGCATTCAACAAACAATATTCAGAATAATTATTCAATTCAATTTTAATTTCTTCAAACCATTTCTTAGTAATTTCAACATCTACCAGTCCTTCTTGTCCATTCAGCTTCAGTGACTTAATTCCTTTTCTTTTAACAAAATTTTGTAGCCAACCTTTAGAAGCTTTGAAATTAGTCAAACCTTTATCACTAGCAATTCTTAATGCATAACAACGTATTTCCTCTCCATGAACTGATATTCCACTGTTGTTTAATTTCAAAACAAATTCACTGACTTCTCTCTCTAGTTCTTCCAATGGAAATTCAGTTCTGACACCTTTTGAATCTTTTGATGGACTTTCATTGTAAGCTTTGATGAACTTTTCCGAATTTTTGATTATATAATTCACTGCTTGAGGGGAAAGAAGATGTTGTTGAGCTACATAATCACGACTTAGACTATCACATTGATTAATTATATTCAATTTCTCCTTAAGAGGTATTTTACATTTTCGAGCGATCATTTTCACCTAATCAACATGTGCTTAAACCTAACTGTGAAAAGTTATCGAATCCCATGAACGAAGTTTTACCCCTAAAATCAAGTGTTTTCCCCCCTTAGTTTCGATAGATGGCGTAACAACAAAAAAACAAAAAACTCAAGGGTTGACTGTATTCCTATGTCCCATGGGAGACATATATACTCCGAACTTTTCTTCAACATTATCAATGGAGTTTAACTTAATTTCAACTTTGCCTCTTCACTCTCTTGTGCTGCCCTCTCTCCTCTTACTCTTCACTTGAAACCGATAGGTTCAAATATCTCTGCTAGATGCCGAGGGTAAGCGCAAATATATTCGCGCCTCGCAAAGAGCGAAGATATTTGCAGCTGGAGATGAACCCCATCGCCATGATCTTCAGGCTCCTAGACAGGCACTTCTAGATCCTGCTAACAACCTACTCGGAGAAAAAGACTCGCTACAAATATTCTGTGAAGTCAACGTTTTTGGAGAAGTGGCTTCTTCCTTGGTTCCCAATGAGCATATTGAGCTCATCTATCCTGAGGAAACTTTGGCTTGCCACTCGATCGCTAGTGATCTAACTAATTTTTTGACTAACGGATCAGAGAAAACCGACGTAATTTTGATAGGGAAAGATGGAATTCGAGTTAATGGCAAAACGATCAAGAGCCGACTGATCAGTATGGTCATTTCATTCATATATTTTATATAATCTGATCTAAAATACTGTCAATAAAATATTTTCTAAGTGAACAAAATTATCTTTATTTTTTCACGTTGCAATATTTAATGCAAATGCCGATGCAAAATAAATGTCAAACTCATCAGTTAAATTTGCTGACCAATGGTCTTACTTTAGATACCCATCAAGTATGTTAGATTAAAGCTTATTAAAAGGCTGTTCAACAGGAAGCTTGAAGCTTGTTAAAAGGCATCCAAATAGATGAGATGAGGAATTGGATGAAAAGGGCTAAAATTGAGTAAACCTTAATCAATTAAGCTTGTCTTTCCTTGATAGATCCTTTAAGGTGTTCCACTTCTCGTCTCAACAGTTCATTTTCCGTCTTTTATATAAGCACAAGATATTCGAGTCTTTCACGCTTTAAGCGATAAGCTTCGTCTTTACGTTGTGTAGTTATTTACAAAGATAAATCCATCCAGGTTGTATCCATCAAACCTTATAGTGTTATCAACAGTCGAACAGAAACAGAATATTGCCTTTACTGATTGACCATTAAAGTTGTCTTAGAAAAATCAATTTGAGAAAAAAATCTGATTCCATAACTGTTTAAAAGCGATCGAAATTTTAACTTTGAATTCGATTTTATCGATCAGAGAAACTGTTTATTTGCACAAATGACCTAAACTTTTATGCCCTACGAACCCAAGAAGTCTAAACTCTTAACTCTACAGTCAAAGTTTTCACTTATTTTCCAATGTTTCCCTTCATTTTATTATCAAATATTATATTAATATTTCATGCTTGCATTTTGAATTTGCATTCTTTCTGAGTGTAATTGTAATTGTAATCAAGTAATTAGCGAGTTTTCTTGTACCAATTCATGGTGAATTCACTCTTGTTAATTAAATTGATCGAAATAAATATTGATTGATATTTTTTGACAAAAGTACTTGTAGGTGCTTTGAACCGATTGTACTCACCCTCAACAATCAATCTGTTAATTTCCAAACCTTCAGACTTTGATTTGTTATCTGAAAATTAATCATTGATAACGAAACGATTAATTAGCATCAATTTTTATACAAATGTTTGTTGAAATAACTTTAATTGACCAAGAATCGCTAATAAGGTGCTTCATGAAATCTTATTATTCATAAAAACATTGAATTGGCCATTTTCCGATTCACACAAACTTTTGTCTTTAAAGGCTTAGATCTGAATTTTACTCAATTATCTCATCAATTGCATGATTGAAAAGTTACAGGATTGAAAAATAAAAATCACATAAATGATCTGATAACTGCAAATAGGGATTATTCATTGATTATGCTAATTTATTTAGGTAACAATATTTATGATAAGCAAGTTTATTTGTTCATTTAACTGTTGATAACATTTCATAACTATTTTGATACGCAAACCAAAGCAAATCAATTGTTTCTCATGGAGGGCCTATTGAACGGTTAACAATTGAATAATTGTGATAACGTTTAGGCACAGATGTTCATTTGTTGATAAACTGCGAAAATAAAGTATAAAATGTGATGATGTTAAGCAAATTAGCATCAGTTAATCATCAAGTTTAATTAAAAAACATCCAACTTCAAATTTTGTGCAAAAAAATCATGAAAATGATCGCAACTCTCTTCTTTGTCTTTGCTTTTGCCTCACCAGCTTTCGGTGGTTGGTTTGGTTGGTGCCCAACTCCTCCAGCTGCTCCTGAAGGTACAGACATCACCAAGGTAATTTATTATTTATTTAATTCGTTTATTAAGTTATACTTGATTCACTAATTTGGTGTTTAATTTATTTAGATTGCCGGTAGATGGTATGAGATTGCTCGACCAACCAAAGCCTCTGAAAATGGTTTAACATGTGTTACATCTGACTTCACTCTTCGACCTGATGGTGACTACAACATTACCAATCTTGGTTTAAAGCCTGAGTAAGTTAAATTAATTGATTTACTGCAATTGTTTATTAATATAAATTGTGTCGCTGGTTCTTATTCTCGTTAATCTCATAGTGGTTCAAAGGCCGGTGAATATGGAGAAGCCAAGCGTACCGATTCTCAAAGTTTACTCAATGTTTACTCATTTGCAGTTAGTAAGTACCGTAATTGCTGTGTTAATGTATTAACTATTTCAATAATTGATCTGTTCACTAATCAAATTTACTTTTTGCAGAGCTTCCATTCCCAATTGGTTTCAACATAGCCGAGGCTGATTACGATGACTACTTCGTTGCCTACACTTGTATTGGTGTTCCTCCTTTCTTCACCAGCAGTAAGTATTTAGTGGAACGTCATTTACTGGTTACCGATATTTAACTCAATTATTATTGTCTTCTTAGAACATGCTTGGATCTTATCCAGAAAGAACACCATGGACGCTGACAAGCTTAAGAGATTGACCGATTTGGTTATCAACCAATATGGAGTTGAACCCGCTGAAATTGAAGTGACTCCCCAAAAGGATTGCAAATACTGGCCAGTTCCACAATAATTGTATCGAAATTGTTGATCAACTTGACTGTGTTTCACGATGATTCCCAAACAACACAATTTCAATAAATAATTAAATAATTATCACAAGCATAAATTGATTTTTGACATTCGGTTCCGAAGATATACCTGTATCTCTTATTCAGAAACGCCACCTGCACCGCTCGTTTGATTG